ACCAGTAGGGAATTTTAAAACGGTATTATGTTTCCTCATCCGGACGTATATCAGACAACACCAAATGAACCTCTCCTGTTTTTCTTTCATTATCTGTACCTATACCTGATGCATATCTTTTTTAATTTACATTTATTTTTGTTCTTAAAGGTTATTTGGATATGGACATGAACAAATGTGTGCAGGGTGAGTAACTTATGGGGCAAAAAAAAAAAAAAAAATCCTTTTCAGCATAATGAAAGTACATCCATATGTATGTCATAAAACCTTCGCATTCACATGTGAAGAATTTTTTTTTTGTAAGGATGGGTCCTCCCTATCTGTCCGAGGCGTGAATGTATATTTCAGTACGTTCGTGTGTATAAGGTATCTTTATCGCTCTTTGGTTTTTTCTTCCGTGGTGCCCCTTCAAAACAACAGCTGCTGTGAGGTGGTGGAAATTACCTTGATCTTTGTCTCATCTTTCTTCTCTTCTTTTGCAATCGTCTCGTTCTCTTTTTCTTCCACTGTGAGGAAAAAAAAAAAAAATTGCAACGGTGTTGCGGCATAGAGGCGGAGGTAAATCTCATTCGTACTGCTACAGCGACTCCCTGGGACAAACATGCAGCAATGACAACACTTCTTGGGGAAGAACAAAAACAATGTGCAGAGAAGTTTTATTTGAAGGCATGAGGGGAATGCGCCAACAAAAATTGTTGGTTCCCTGCGGTATCCACGCACGGTACAGAAAAACGTGTTGAATGAGAAACAATCTTTGCGATGTAGATGCAGTGAAGTAACGCATTTGGTATTTTCCATTAACTCTTTCTTTTTTTTTTTCTATCTCACCTTCCAGCGCATCTTTGCCCTTGACTTCTTATAACGACTAGCCCCATGTGCCATGTTGACTGTTTTGAATTGGCCTTTTGAGGGGGGTTAAAAGAAAAATGAAAAGAGAGCTTTTTTTCTTACTGACTAACTTGACCCTACACAAATGAATGAATGTAACTTCCTCTTAAAGGTTTTCTTTTCACGAACAGTTGTTCGCTCCTCTGATTGTTTTTGTTTTGTTTAATTTTAACTTTCAAATTTGTTGTTTGGATTTAATTTTATTTTTTTTTCTTTAAATATATACCATATGAGATGTTCAGGTGAGGAGTTTTTTTTTTTTTTTTGCGCAGCATCTTGCTACTGTTCTTCGCATTGTTTGCATACCCCCTTCCCTCTTTTTTTCTTTGATAAAGAAATTGCCAAAAAAAAAGAGGCTTGAAAGGGGAATTATGTCGTGGGGTCAATGGCGAATATTTGTATGGCCCCTTGCCGCCGCTTCTACGACTGCACAACGAGTATCACGGAGTACGTGGAACAACATGCCAGCCCACATTGTTGATAAGAATATGTACACGTGTGCAGCAAAGGCACAGCATGGTGCTTCCCACATAGGGAATATACCATCAATCCTACGGTATACATGTATAAACGTAAACAGTCAGGCATATATTTCTCAGCCACGCCGCTACTCCTCGGAATGCAGAACCACCGCCTCTTCCTCTTTCACATTCCAGGGACATATATGAGTACATCCTGCGACGCACCATGCCGTGTACACGCTGATAAGCCAGGTGCGTATGAGTATACACGAAAAGTCGACACCCCTCGCCTCCTCTGCAGGGGCATTTTTATAGCTTTAAAATTTCTTTCGCACAAAAAGGGAAAAGAAACAATAAAGGGAAGAAAAAAAGTGCGCAATATTTTGTACCTTTGCATTTTTTGCGATAGAGAGATGCGTTGCTGCGCCACTTGATTTGGGTTAAAGCGAAGGAGTAGAACCTGTGGGTTTCTATATGGATCCCTTGAAACTTATCACCAAAGAAAAAGAAAACCTCAAAGGGAGGAGGAGTCACCAGTAAAAGGGAAAGCCTTCCCCGAGGAATGCAACACTGCTAAAATGACCTTCACAAAGGTGAAGTTCAATTGGCAAATTAAATGAAGATTAAGAAAAAAAAAAATTGCGAGTGTAGCTAAGTGATCCTTGGGGTTCCATAACCAAGAAGCATAGGAAGGGATGAACCGAACTCGCTTCATGATACCCACTATGAACATTTTTTGGTTCCCTTTTGGTGTAATCTGTTGGCCCACTTCCACCATTTTGTGGCTACTTCGTGTTTTAGCAGAACAGATGGAATAGGCCTACGGGTAAAAAGATGACAGATGAGGTCTAAATGCACCGCCGGCGTGGTGCATATGGGGGACAAACGAAACTTCCACCATTTGGGCCCCTAGGTTGGTTGGACGCGCCGAAGGAACGGATTTGCAAAGGGTGGAAAAAAGAAAAAAAAGGAAAAAAAAAGAAATGCAGTAATGGGGTAGCTATAGAGAGGGAAGGGACACCGACGCATCGTTGTACGTATATGTATCTATTGGGGGATGGATGTATTCTCCATAACGTTGCATATGTGTGGATTCCCCTTGGACCATCCAGGAGAAATCACCACCCCATGTGATATATGTGCCGCATCTGCCCGTTACACCCATATTGGGTATCACTTGAAGGGGAACAATTGCAATGGAGGGGGCAGTCACATCTGGCACAGTCCAATTATTCTCCCTCCCCCCCTTCGCGACTGAGTAATGGCTTTTTCTAAGCCCCTACGATAGCATCTATAATAATTGCGCGCAGGAGAAACGTTTTATTCCTTTTGCGTATAAAGGGTGGAACGGGGTGAGAGTCCCTTCTATATCATACACATGATGCACGCATTGCCAATTTCGCTAGTAGAATGGAGGACCGCTCAGATGATAGGAGAAAAGACCTTTTAGAAATTCTTGTAAAAAAGGGAAAGGAAGAAAAAAATAGTAGACAAACTGTGTGCACTGTGTAAGCTTCCTAACAACTGTTCTTTGTTTTTCTTTTTTTTTTTTTTCTTTTGGGAGTGTTGGAGAGGAAAACATCTGCACGTTCATTTATAAGGTTAATCAATTGGGAGAGGAAAAAAATAGGATGTATGACACGACGCGTGCTGCTTCTGTGGTGAAAAGCGGTCTGTCTTGGAATTATCCCCCTCCCCGCCTGTTGTACTGCGTCATCGGGAAAAAAAAAAAATGCTTTTTTTTTTACTTTCCAGAAGAATGATATCTCAACCGCTTCTACATTTTAAGTGAGTTCTGCCTACTGCGACTGCAACGGAAATTTGAAGGACAGCTCACTCAGTGTTTCTTCCTTGTTTAATTTTTTTTTTTTTGGCGAAACAGGGGGTGGGGGCACTTCTTAGTGTGCGTTTTGTGAGCATTCCTCTTTGCGAGACATTCCTTGCTGTGTTGCGAGAGCGATAAGGGCCTCGGAAAATTTTTTAAGGGTGAGGAAGCCTAATCAGGTGCATGCTATGTACACGTATAATAGGCAGAGAGAAAAAAAAAGGAAAGACTCCCAAGGGGGAAGATGCCCTACTTTTGTTCACTGTTTTTAGTACATTCGTTATCTAATCCGATCTGCTTGTGTGTAAATGTAGATTCTCTTCGTGTGGACAATTTGTTCCGACTCCTCAGTACCCCCGGCACGTCCACTGATTCCACCTTGTTTCCACTTCCTTTTCGCTTCCTTCCGCTTCCTTTCAGCGTAGCATGCACCTCTTTCCCCAATGAGGCATCGAGCAAAGGCAGGATTGGGGAGAGGCACTTCCCTCTCCCTCAGCAGACACCCGCGGAGGGAGAAAATCGCTCCGTTGAAGAAGCTAAAAAAAACGCTGCTCGATGCAGAAGTGCTGATTGACGTGTCCAAAATTAGAATCTATGCAAAGGAAAATTTCGATCTCGAATTAATTAACAACGTAAACGATCGATTCGTAGAAAAGACATATAAATTATTGATGGACACAAGGAAAAATATGATTCCAGAGGACGAGCTGAATGATTTTATATTTCTGCTGATGAATGAAAGGAAGGAAAAAAAGAGCCAAGTCGAAAAGATGAGGAGAAATGGGCAGGATAAAAGTGACTCCGTCAGAGGATCTGCCAAATGTCCAATAAAAAATGAAGTCACCAATTTGATAAAAAAAATGAATAAGTTTCACTTTTATTTTAAAGAATTTCTCAAGAAGGATAAATTGTGGATGGATGCCACAGATGGGGGCGATGGGAAGGCCACCACGTGGGGCACTACGAGAGGTACTACCTTGGATAATCGCGGAGGCCAGAAGCAATCGGATCTCCAACCGAACGGTGACAATGCATGCAGAAAGGCTGACACTTGTTTTTCTTACATAGGAAGGAAAGGAGAAACGGGGAAGGGCGAATCATTGTATTCCCAGAGTAAGCAGAAGAAGGAACAGCGGGAAAAAACAGAACGAGCCATTCGCAACCTGTTGAGTAGCGGCCTCAGTGAGACAGAGTCGGACGTAGAGCGCCCCGTCCAAATCGACGAAATGACGCAAATGGCTGAGGAAATGAATGATAGTTTGGGAGGACGAGAATGCGCGACAAACAAGATGGCTCTATTTAGGCAACGAGTAAAGGTAAAAAATGTTTCCCCTTCCTCTTCTGATGGGAAAGAGATAAGAGAAACCGAAGACACGCAACCCTACCGCTGCCATTACGTACAGAGAGGAGGGGGCACCCCTCGGGGGGACAGCCCACATGGGTGTACATTCCAAAGGGGCTGCACCAATTTGGTTGCAGGGAGAAGCACGAATAACCGGGGGAGCCACAGACAGGGGGGTGACAGTCAGTTAGTAGGAATCCGACACGGTGACAGCCTCGGTGATAATAGCAGTGATAGCAACAGCGACAGCAGTAGCGGTGATGATGGCCGTCCCAGTGAAGTCATGCGAAGGAGCCGGTCCGATGGAGCCAAGTACTGCCTGTACAGGAATGCCCTTTCTGAAGACCACCACACTGGACTTGCACACGGGGCCTCCCTGACAGAGTACGAAAGGTATATAATCCTAAGGAAGAAGAAGAAAAGGAAGAAAAAAAAAAAAAAAAAGAAAAATAATAACAAAGACAAAGACAAAGGTAATCAAAACAGTGACAGTCTAACTTTTTTGAAAGTCCCAAATGTGCTAACATGTGATTGGAAAAAAGAACGGGGGAAGGACAACAGAAGGAAGGAGCCTGAAAGAAATAATGTGGACAACTATTTGGGGGACGCATACAACAGCTGTGAGCACCCCGGTGAAAGGAACCCCATGCTGGCGGCAAGTTACAAAGAGGCGTTTTCCCGCGGCTACCTCCACGAGGGGAGGAGCAATTTGGTGCACACCCTGTTGGGGACGAAGGACGAGAAGACGGAGTTTTCGAGAAAGTCAGGTTACGCGAAGGGGAATACTAAGGGGAATGCTCAGAGGTATATTAAAGGGCATCCTGACGGGGGTGCCAGGGAGCGTGAAGTCGAGGATACTTCAACAACCGGAAAGAAGGGTCTTACTCCCCCCTCATTAACCACGTCATCCTTGGTGATCATTCCGGAGGAAAATTATTCTAAAAAAGGGATGCTGATAAAGTCGGGCAATAACTCCTCTCCTCAGGGGGAAAAACGTTCGGATCAGTTGTGTCCACATGATGGAGAGGGGAAACTGTCAGAGTTACACAAACGAGGAAGGGATGATATTCATCTTAAGGTGCCGAATGGACCCTGGCCCTTGGCAGGATCACATAAAGGAAATGGTGTCATAAATGTATCAGGAGGGGGGAATCCTCTTCCAAGTGAAACCCCCACAAGTGGCTGCTCAAATGGGAGCCGTATGAGGAGAAGAGGCACAAGTAAGGGATTCCATGCAGATGGTGGGATCGCCAAAGTAAACAACAACGTGTTAGAACCCCTCAGTGGGGAAGTACCTACGAGGGAAGATGAAGTAGATAAGGCAGACAGAAATGTGGACCGTAAAACAAATGCATCAATCGAAAAAGGAAGAAGGGGAAACGCCAGATTACGTCATCCCCTTTGCGAAAAGAGCTATAGCAGAACAAAGGACAGCGCTGATGAGAGCCCAATAGTTGGGGGTACACGAGGCCAGTATGACGAAACCGCTGCCCATTTCGATGAACAGCTCACGCTAGATGGGCCGAAGGAGTGGAACAGCGATATTTCAACTGAGGAAGGGATCAACCCCTTGGAAGAATCAAGCAGGGGAAATAGGGATTATATGTGTAGCGTCCTCGATTTGAGGTACCGTCCCCAGGATGATAGCCCTACTGTCACTGCGAAAGATCCCAACGAATGGGAAATCTTCGAGGGGAAAGAATCGACCCCGTTACATCACAAAGAAGAAGTAGATCCATCTGCCAGCGTGAGGAAGGAGGAAAAGTCCCATGTGAGAAATAAGAATGTGAAAAGATATGAACAGACCATATCAGATTGTACGTCCACCATGGAGTACCCCAGTGAGAGACACATTTATGCCAACAGAGATGTTTCTTCATCCGTTTCAAAAAATGGAGCAAATTTCTACAGTAATAGAGAAAAAAGGATTGTTTCCCCTGATTGTGCATCCACGTTGGGAAGAGATAATGCCGATTCTTATGACTACTCTGATGAAAGGTTTGAAGATATGGATCAAGACAAAAGGGACACAAGGAGTCATTACAGGGGGGAAGAGAAATATGATTTTTTGGCAGAAGACACATGGAAGGGACCCAATGATGTGGGTATGAATCAAAACGGAAGAGATAAGACCTGGAGGAGGAATCAAGACAGCATTAGGGGCACCCATTTAGGAGGAGACAAAAAAGACACACTACAGAAACGTATTACAGGCTTCCTTTCAAAGGGTGCTATGAAAGAGGGGGGAGGATCAAATTATTTTAAGAGTCCCACGTATGATCGCGCGCTGATGAGACGCGTCGAGAGCGATATTGCGTTTTATGAGGACATTTCGCACGATATGGAAGGCGTCACGAGGGGGTTACAGAACGGGTCGTTTTATGGCCCCTCCCACAGGTACTTGCATGGACCCGATTGCCCTCCCGATTACAGCCCCCATGGAGACAGTCCGATCAGCTTCAACCCGAAGGATTTTTTACTTTTAAAAAAAAAAAGAGAAGAAGATTCCAGGCTGAACAAATGGTTAAACAAAATGAACTCCAGAGAAAATGAGAAAAAAAAAAAAATCCAAAAAAAAAAGAACGAATCTATAAAGAAGGAATTGCTAGATTGTACCTTCCACCCCAGGGTCAGCATCGTGCAGCCGAACAAAGTGAAGAGTTTCATCAAAGAGGAAGGCACACAGGGAGGTGGGGTTAACATACACAAGAGGGGGGGCATCGAATTACGCCCTCACAATGAGAAAGGCCAATTTGACGACGACCTCCATGTCGCTTCACGTGGCGCGGATAGACGCGCACCCCGAGTGAAGGCGATCACACAGGTTGGTAGCGAGTGGACGGACATCGCCTATCACAAGAGCGCCATACCGCCCATGAACAGATATGAGGATGCACTTATGCGTGACGATGTTGTTGGTCCAATGAGCCGAAACATCAGTGGGGGTCATTCCCATGGGAGGGGGGCTGCAGGGGGGGCAGCGAGGAGAGGATATCATACCAGGGGAAGGTACACTGATGGGGAAATCGTTCCTGAAGAGGACATCCAGAGCGATGATCGAAATAGTAACCGTAGGAGCAGCGGGGAGGAGCCGTACCGGGAAAGTAAAATAAAACACAGAGATAGAAATGAGCTTCTGTACTGGAAAGCCATGAAGCAGAAAGAGCACCTACAAAGGAAGAAGGACGCTTTTGAGGAAGCCAAGGAAAATAAATTTAAAAGCGAATGTAAGTTTAGTCCAGAAATAAAAAACAACGTGACAATATACATGTCGGACCTGCCGAAGGGATACAGCAAAACGGTGGAAAGAATCAAACGGGGTGTCGAGGAAAAAAGGAGAGTCCATAATTTCTTGGAGTATAGGATACCAGTAGACACAAATGGAGATAAAAATGCACAAAATGATTTACGAAGTAGATGGAAGGGAGGGAAGACTACCACTCTCTCCCCCTTCAGCTTTGACAAGGGATTCTACAAGGTGAAAATAAAGCCCGTTTACTTTGAAACGAAAATAAGGTTGTCCGAAAATAAAATTGTCTCTCTGGCCATTCGGGAAGACGAGGACCCCTTATACATCGTTGACATATTTTGTAAAATTCATGCAATTAGGGATGAAGACAAGAGGGTGCTTTATGAATATGTGATGGACGAGTTGCGGAAGGCATCTCATAGTAGGTAGCCAACTCACGTGGGAACGATTATGGCGCAGCTGTATCTTTGGGGGAATGGTCTCTCTTCTGCTTCTCTTTCCCAGGAGAACGCTCCTGAGGGATAGGTCCCCATTTCTGGACAATCCCCCTTTCGTACTTACGTGTGTGCACACTGATGGGCGCAATTACTCATACCCCCTTCGGGTGAGGAATGTCATTCGGTT